TGAATAGTAAATATCTTGATGGATGAATAGTAAATATCTTGATTTATGAATAGTAAATATCTTTTAAATATCTTGATTTATGAATAGTAAATATCTTGATGGATGAAAATTGAATATCTGATGAATGAAATTGAAAAGGAATATTACAATAACCAGTATTTTTCATTTGATCATGGCCATTGGAAGATTATCTTTACATATCACTTGTTAAGCTCGTAGCACAAATGATTGATGTTTTCATATGATTAAATGAAATAAATATTTGTACAGACATTTTTCATTGTTATCATTTTTTCTACAGGTTAGTGTACAATACAGTACAATATTAGCATTCTGACACCAGGATAATACCATTCTGGCAGAACATTTCTCTATAGCTGTTGATTTTTTTGGGATGTGGTTAAGAGCTGGAACACTATATTATGTTCCAACGTTATGCCTCTGTGAACAAACTGAAAACTGATGCTCTCCACATATGCGTGATTTCAATTTAATTGAGATGGAAATTGATAGCAGGACATTGGCATTTGCACACCACATTTCAGTTTTGGGAAATCAAGTAAAAAAATTAAAAATAGCAACATTAAATGTTCCAGTTGTAGATGCTAGATCGATCTTACCAATGACGTTAGTTCCTTATAGTTATAAGCCAAGATGCCATAATGCTTAAATTGAACCCTGGGCATTAGCTGTTTCTTCAAATTGTCATGGGATCATTGATGTGCCCAGACTGTGGTATGCAGTAAATAACAAGAAAGAGATCTAGATAGTGTGGTACTAACATTTATTATTAAAATAGACACAATATAAATCATAGTCCAGATACAATAGCATAAGCTTCAATAAAAATTCATATGAAATATTATCAACTAAAATGTAATACTTGTTTTTGTTATTTTCGATGGATAAAATATTTTGTACATGTACACCGATATGTTGATTCTGAACCTTATTTCCCCATAAGCTGAATTTGCTCATTGGCCACTTCTACATCAAGCCCACACCAAAACCAACAAGCTGTCTTTGAGTAGAGTCGGAAAGGACTGGGTTGAGAAGTCCAAAGACACTATCTATGCCAATCAATTTTTTTAGATGATCAATATCAAGTCTGTCAATCAACATCAATATCAAGTCTGTCAATCAATCAACATCAATTTAAGACAATCAATATCAATTGAATTTGGTACATCAAAACCAATTCCAGTAAAATCATTTATTGCAAGTCAACCAACATCATTTGTGGCAGCTGATCAATTCCCAGAGAACTGATCAACATCAAATCAAGCCAAAATGGTAGTTTGTCCAAACAAAATAACTATGCACCTTCCCTCTTGTAAAACTAGGCAGTGTGATATTATAGTAAATATTCTGCATGAACTGTTTAATTCAATCATTTTATATATTAGAATAAAGAGATCTTGCATCAAATTAGATATATCTATTGATATGAAATAATATATAAAAATAAATCATAATAAACTTTTATACTAATACAAAAAAATGACTTGCTTTGGAAATCTTACCCAATGTAAATAAATAATAATAAATAAAAATAAATATGACAAAATGTTGGGAAAAGATATTTATGCATATCCAGGTCTGATTCAAAACATAAACACGAGCAGTCCATTATATATTAGGGAATATTAAATAGTAATAGATACTATACAGACTAAACTTATATTGTGTTGATTACTACTTAAACTACCTAAAAATATAGTGGACTAATCATGTTTATGTTTAAATTCGAAGCTGGATGTCCAGAATTATCTTGGCTTGACTTAGTCAAATTGACTATATTTATTGTAATGCAGTACTAATGCACAAAGAACTTAAAGATATTTTAACCAATTTCAAGGACCCAAAATCAACAAGTGCTGTGAAAGCATTATTTTTCTAGAAGCATATTCTTAGATTCCATGGTTTTGCATATATACACAAATCTACTAAATTTGAAGTCTTCAAAATCAAACATTTATCAGTTGTAGAAAAGTTAAATATTTCTTAAATAAGCATCTTTTTTTTACACTTTTTTATATAATAGTAGAGATTGAAAATAGTAACTTAAATATTGAAAAGCAGAATGAGTTATTTTAATTGTTTCTTTTATTTCATTGGGCTACTCCCCTCATCACTAGATCTACAGATATTCTGATATACAATTATTTCTTAGTCTGTACAAGGAATTGGACCAATCAAATTTTCTGGTTTGCAATTGTGATAAATTCCAAATAATGCACCGATTAATTATTGAACATGGAATAATTCAGATAATAGAATGAGTGAGTTACCCTCAGAAAAGATGTGAGATGAAACATTATTGGTTTAAAAAAATACTTATTGACTTTGATTGCAATAAAATAATGCTCAATCTCAAAAACTGTTTGTTTGACTCAATATTACACAAAAAAATACACTGGAATTGTCATCTTACTTCAGAAGGTAAATAAAATTTTACCGATTGTTTTTAAGCGAATAAGAATATCAATATTGCTTAGTATGTATATAATATAAGTATTTTACTTTTACAATTATTATAAACACACTTTTTATACTCAAATTTCATCCAAAAATGTCCTGAATTTGGCCTGAAAATAACCTTCTGTATAAATTGAAAAAAAGATATTCCAATTCACAAAAAAATAATTTTATTGGATACATTCAATTCACCTACGCAAGTACGAAGACAGAACAAAAAAATATGAAATAAAGGAATTAAAAATTGAACTACTTAATCAAAAATCAATGAAAGAAAAATCAATGAAAAAGCAATAATCATTACATATATATGTACATTATTATCACAATTATTTATAAATTAAAATCATTAAATGATTCGTATACTTTTACAACTTATCACTATAACAATCATGTCAAGCTTATCACAATTAATCATTTTAAAAAAAAAATCATTAAAATCAAAAATATGTACAAAAATATGGCTTTTTTTTTCTTTTTTTTTTCTTAATGTCATTAAAGCTTAAGCAAATACATGTCACACAGCCAGTGCTTCTGAGGACTAGCTTACACGGGTGATTTGTGTTTGTTTTGACTAGGTGAACTGACTTATGTATGTTAATGTTACATTGCAAAAATGAGTGGATTTCTTATGATACAAAATGAGAATTCCAAGATGTAACATTGAGAATTTCAAGAACTAACATTGATAATTTCATGATGTAACATTGAGAATTCCAAATTGTAGCCTAGCATTGAAAATTCCACAATTTAACATTGAGAATTTCTAAAAATAACATTGAAAATTTCAAAATGTAACATTGAGAATTTCAAAATGTAACATTGAGAATTACATAAAAATTGTATCTTAATTGAGAATTTCAAGATGTAACAATGAGAATTTCAATTTGAGAATTTGAAGTTATTAAGTGAAAATGTCATGTTTTGATCTAAGAATTTCAGGATACTTAAATGAATGGCTCTTACAACTAAAGTGGGAAAGCATGTTAGCTAATTGAGAATTTGACATAAGGAAGTTTGAATTGAAAATAACGAAATGAGAATTTCAGGATGTTAATTGAGAATTCACATTTCTAGCTAGGAGTTACCAAGTTACTAAGCCAATAACCGTGTTTCTTACATTAACTTGCACATGCAAAAATAAGAATATTTTTTTCTCAAACTAAAATTATAATAAGGCAATATCAGCTAAATGATATCTCTCAGAACAGAATTTTTTTGAATGGCCTTTACAACATGCAAGATTCTCAGAGAATCATACCTTCATTACATTACACATACACAAAAATTACATTTTACAAACCATTACATGGTATATTTCCACCTTATTCCATTATAGCCGTACCAAATAGGCATTTGCATTACTTATACTGACTTCATTATTCACTTAAAGCCTATGACAGCCTATGCCAGCCAAAAGAATGACCAATGAATGTACATGAATTCTTTCAGAACCTCCTTAATTTATGAATTTCTTATGAAAAATTGATGAAGACAAAATGCATGATCATTGCACTAGCTATTTTGACATGAAGCGACATTCACACATATAAGACATTACACACACAATTATTATGACCATTTTTCAGAGCTTAATTAAAGCTTAATATTTGGCTTTTTGGGGCAAAATCAAACATTCAGCAAAATCTTCAATACATATTACAACACACAAAAGGCAATGTCTTGCATCAGCTCTTTTGACAAAAGTCGTGATGAATGTGACAAGATGGCACATAAACAAACACATTAAATAAACACTAAGTGTTTACAATAAGCAAACATACCTTATGAAACACTTGAACAATTGTTAAGAAGCCTTCAATGCTAGCACACTACAGCACAGCCAAAACAATGTCACAGGACTGACAATTTTGGCATAAGGCATGATATAAGTGTGTTATAGTTTAAGAATTATGACATAGATCTGATATACCCAACAAGTGTGATTTTCTTGATATTCTAAACTATTCCCCCTTCAAAACATCTTCACTGCATGTCGAATCGCATTAACCATTTTGGAATAAGGCATGATATATGTTTGACAGTTATGGAAATATGACATGGATGTGACACACCCAAAAAGCGTGATTTTCGTGATAATCTTAACCATTTGGCCTTCAAAGCATCACACTGCAGCACTTGTCAAATTGCACTGGCTTTTCAGCACTTGTCAAATTGCACTGGCTTTTTTGACATAAGGCATGACGTATGTTTGACAGTTAAAGAAATATGACATGGATGTGACACACTCAAAAAGTGTGATTTTCGTGATAATCTTAACCATTATGGCTTTCAAAGCATCACACTGCAGCACTTGTCAAATTCCATTAACTGTTTTGACATAAGGCATGATAGTATATGATCACCAGCAAATGTGACACTTAGCCACCATTATAAAAAGGCATCACAAAAAGCCAAGAAACATATCACATCAAAGCACATATTTTGCAATTGAAAAAAAATCACTGAACATCTATTTGGATTTGGTCTCTTCACTTTGGTAGACTGGAATTCGGAATTCATTACAGGAATTGTTTATTATGTAGAATCTTTTCTTTCAACTCAATATATCTTTCAAATCTAGATATGGCATATTCCTAAAACAAATGATATTAAAGCTATACTAAATTAGATCAAGAAAAGATTTTTGAAAATTTCAGCTATTAAATATTTATAAGATTTGAATGACATATAGAAGCGAGGAGCACATATAACAAAACACAATACAATATTATGGAAAATAAATAAAATAAAATAAAATAAAATAAAATAAAATAAAATAAAATAAAATAAAATAAAATAAAATAAAATAAATAAAAAAAATTAAATTAAATAAAATAAAATAAAATAAAATAAAATAAAATAAAATAAAATAAAATAAAATAAATAAAAAAAAATTAAATTAAATTAAATTAAATTAAATTATTAAATTAAATTAAATTAAAGATCATATATAATCGAAATTGGAAGGTATTTTTTAGATCTAGAATGAATAAACCACAGAAAATAAATAGAACATCATATCAATAGCTGAATTAGTGTCAATTCTAGATTGTTTAAAATTTAATCTATAATATTGACCAATTGATCATTCCAGCATTAGGGGGACCAAATTAAGGAATCTACTTACCCAATAACCAAACTCTATGACAGATGTCTGAGCTTGAACTATAGACCAAACAGCCCAGAAGAAATGAGAGGCCAGTGCGTAAGTATTCACTTCTAGATATAAGGCTTCTAAATCTTTTTCTGTCACATTTTCCTTTCCACTGTTTTCTAAATATTCTTTAAAAAATATAAACTGAAATAAAAACAGAAATTATTTAAATTTCAAACTAACTACAAATATATTAAAGTTGGGGTATGCACGGATAGTGTACTCAAATTAAAAAAAAACATTTGACAATGAAGAGAAATTATATCAATTTCTCTATTGAGTATTTAAGATTTTGTGTTATAAAGTTATCAGGGAATAGGAGTCTCATTCTCAGCTTTTTTGCCTGAAATCATACCCCTCAAGAATGCAGGCTCTAATTTCAAAACACCCTGTATATATCATCAGTGTTTACTTCATTGAATATAATTACCTGTTGTTCCCTATTTGGATAATCCTCAGGATTGTAACTGAAAAATGGTGGTTTAGGGTTTGAGTAGCCATATGCCCATTCACAGAAATGATTGCCGATATCAAATCCACGATAATTATAACTACAGTATTCCCAATCAATAACTGTTAACTCTCTAGAAGTATTGGCACAGCTTTCCATATGTAATAAGTTACCTGGAATTATAAAAAATGTTTATTTTAAAATACTGGGTTTGTGGTCTACAAAATAAAACCTGTTGACTTGAATAGTTGGATTTTGTAAATATCTTGATCGAATCAGCTGTAAGTGAGATCAATTTTGAAGGTGCAGCACAAGAGCGGTCTTGGTAGTAGATTTTTGTCTCCGACTCGAATCTGGAGTAAAACCTCCCATGTACCCCTGCTTCCACAACAAGATTATTGTGTCACCGACAGGATTTATAATATAATTGTAATATAACAAGTTTGGTAATTGTCTGTTTTATCGTCTGCAAAACAGACCGTCATCATCCAATGATTCATTTTCCTTTCAATTGCATGCTCCGCAGGTGATTATCAACAAGGCGGAAAATGACCGACTCGTATTGGCGATAAAAGTCACCAACCAAGACCGCTCATGTGCCTGCACCTTAAGAAGTTTATGAAGGACCAAAGTTGTCAACTTCAACTGATATATTTGATAGCTCAATTAATCAGATAAGTTTGCCACACAATTCCCTGTTTGTGAATTTGGATTTAATCATTTAATCTCTCTCAATTGGTCACAGCCTGGGCTATTTAAGTCTTGAGCCAGACTGTGACCAACCTCGGGGATTTACCCCATTCAACAATCCAGAAGTTTTTAAGTAATAAACTGCTCTGCTCCCATGAAGAGAGCATCTGTGACTTCAGATAGACAACACTGATTCAAGCACAACTGGATGACTTCAATCAGCTCAAAGACATGGTGCAGAATATTCACTTTGAGTGATGTAAGGAACTCGAGCCATGATGAATTTTTTCGGTGTCTAAAGAATTCAGGAGACTTCTTCAAAGCATTCCATTCTTGTAGTATCATTTGAAACATCACAGACCATTGTAATATGTCAAAAAATCATTGGAAGAAAATTCCCCATTGCCCGTCAAGTACATAGAATTATGAATAAATGGAGAGCACAGCAACAAAAGGTCAAGGTCAAATGTTACTACACATGAACTAATATCTTACCTTCTTGTAAATCATTATGACAAAATAAAACAGGGGAATGTACCTTGGATATGATGTTTCTGAAAGATAAGATAGGAAAGAATGAGAGCACATTACAAGTGGAATTGCAGGAACCACAGATGTCTGATTGAAAATTATAATGGTGCAAATTGATGCTATTAGTGTCCCCATACCAGATAAAAAATTTAGAAAACCTTCTAACAATCCATACAATTGTATTTGTCTAGTTTTTGAAGAAATGCAGAACCACAAAAATCAATTTGGAAATGTGCAAGCGTTCTTGATAGATAAATAGGTATAGAAAACTTCATTTGAACCCCTTGAATGTTTACTCATGAATAATGAAAGTTAGCCATTTACATACATGAGTTTATCTTAACAATAAAATATCTGATATACCAACAATAATATTGATATTTGGAATATTCTATTTACACCAATCTTATCCATTTCATATAGACATTAAAGGTCAAAAGGTCATTCTCAAGTGTGTTGCATTTTCAATTACCTTCTCTCTTATTAAGCCATTCTAATCCAGTTTGCTATGTGGCAACTAATTCTACAGAAACACCTGTTACCACTTAGTGATTTGATTCTCAATAATATAGTAAATTCATTGAAGTGTCTATTAGTACATAAATTAAGTGTTATTTCAAGATAAAGGATTTAGTCATTCAGCCATTGATTATCTACACCAAAAATGGCACACCTATTAGAACAGTGGTTCCCAACCTATTTCAGCCTTCACAACCCTAGAGAAATCACCTGGACCTTTCACACCCAAAAAATTTCACCCTAGTCCTGCACCCCCAGGTTGGGAACCAGGGACTTAGAACCTTATGCTCCTTAAAAGCTTTGATCCATTACAAGATAAATTCAAAAGTCAACACTCAAAAGGTTAACCCAAGCAACAAGCAATAACATTTCTCATTTTTTAATAAATTTTCCAATAGAAAAGGAATTGTTTATGACCCTGTTATCTGTAGAACATTGAAAAAGTAAAATTTAGAAACCAGTTTATCTACAATTCAACAACGTCTGCCTGAATATTAATACAGGTCTGAAAGTTTTAACTGCAATAAGGATTGCTAAACAATTTAGCAAATCAGATATAGTAACGCAAATTTTTGTTTACTTACAATACATTTTGAAATTCCTCCTCCATTTTGAATGATTGTAGTTTATGGATGTATAGTTGATTTTCTGGATCACTTGGATGTGTATTGTTTTGAATTTCTTTGATCCATCTACAAAATATCAAACATGCATTAGATATCCATTACTTTTCTGCGTAAAATAAAATTGCCAACCACAAACTTCTAGCTTGGTGGAAACAAAAATGGAGCATGGCTAGTTTAACCATAGCTGTGAGGTTTTATATGGAGAATGTTCATGTTGGTTTTTACCCTAGAATATCTTCACTGTTCATAGCGATTTCATGACCTATGTATAAGAAGACTGACAAAAATTGCTTACCCTTCAATGGTCTCTGATAACCATCTTGGTTCTTTACATAGTGGCATATCTAAGGAATGTAATTTGGCTAACTTCCTTGCGATTAATTTTGATAATGGTGGCTTTTTCAAGTCTGTTCTTTGTAGAGGTTTAGTCTGAAAAAATACGAAAAGATTAAATCTGAAAGCTGAGTATTAAAAAATTACTTTTATAATGTGGCTTGACTTATTTAATTATTAATGACATCACTTTAAGGGACACTTTCCACATCAATTGATTTGGGTCTTAAATATAATATATAAATAGTCTTCAGAAGTACTAGATATGTACAAATTTACTTCAAAAATACCTCAAACTAGGAATTTCACTTTCTGTTTCTATAAATGTTTTTTCTATATATGACAGTGTCTCAAGAAAAGACCATTCATCTTTACAAGTTTTAAACGAAGATAATTCTGGACACACATGGATTTTGACAGTGAGCTGTGCACACCTTAATTAGGCTAGTTAAAAATTCACGTTTCTGAGACTAGGGTACGATTGGTCAAACAGATGGCAAACCTGTCCCTTTAATATATGCAAAAATTGAGCCCACTGCAAACAATGGCTCAAAACTTGTAATCATGCTATTTAGTTTATCATTGAGTATTAGTTCAGAATAATTCTACTAATAAAGTTCAGACTTACAGGAATATATTCTTCAATTCTTCCATTGTGGTAAATTCCGTATAATTTTGGTCCCAAATCTTTCTCGGAAAGTATAGCAAACACCACAGAGTTAAATATCACAAAGGATTTGCTAGTTTTGGCAATGTGTCCATATATTCTTAACATAACTTTATCTGGTTCACTACCTAGAGGTTTTAAACCTGGTGCTAGGTAACATAGATATAGATAGTTTGATAAACCACCACTAAAAAACACAAAATACATTCAAATTTAATAAGGAAAAGTATCATTTTTATGAGAAAATGTCAGTACACATGAAATTTAGCTCATAATCACATGATATAGTATAAGTTCAAATAACATGAAATAACTTCAATACATGTGAAATAAAGTTCGAATACACATGAAATATAGATCAAATACAACTTAATAAAGTTCAAATAATATGAAATAACGTTCAAGTACACCTAATAAAGGTCATATAATACACATGAAATAAAGTTCAAATACACATGAAATATAGATAAAATACAACTTAAAGTTCAATACACATGAGATGAGTTTAAAACTACAACTTAAAGTTCAATACACAGGAAATAAAGTTCAATACACATGAGATGAGTTTATAAATACAACTGAAAGTTCAATACACAGGAAATAAAGTTCAATACACAGGAAATAAAGTTCAATACACATGAAATGAGTTTAAAAATACAACTTTAAGTTCAATACACATGAGATGAGTTTAAAAATACAACTGAAAGTTCAATATACATGAGATGAGTTTAGAAATACAATTTAAAGTTCAATACACTTGAAATAAATTTCGAATGCACATGAAATCCAGGTTCAAAGTTCAAATACATCTTAAAAGAGTTTTTAAAATTCTGTGCAAAATCTAGGTTATTTGTTCCTATATAGATTGATCTTGCAGATAAAGGCTAGGAAGGAATTTTTTTTTAAATTATTTTTTTTAAATATGTTCATCAACAAGTGATATAAAAGAAAAATTGTGATGACAAGATAATAATCTACATGTATTTGAAAAGCAGATAAAAGATAAGATTAAGCTCGTTTGAAATTTGCTGACTCATACTAGCTTCTGATAGATATTGCAGCTTTCGTTTCCAGTTTTACTAGCACAATAAATACAGCTACACTGTATACTGAGCACTGAGCCACTGAGAACAGATATATTCGCTTTTCTATGGCCAGATTGGTCATTCTATGGTCCATCTATGCTAAATTCACATACAGGGTTCGCAATTCATCACAACAAATTTCAGAATGGTTAAAAGTTAAATTTTGATTCGTATTATATGAAAATTCAGAAGCAATTCAAAATGATCCACTTCGTACTTCAGAGCGATCCTGTTAATGACGTTGATTCCTTCAGGTTAAAGAGAGATAAAAAAAAAAAATTGATTCACAGATCGTTGTGATAAATTTCAATTTTGGCTAATATTGGAAAGCAAAAAGCTCATTTTGATTCGTAAACTGTGATGCAATACCACAAAAATAAAACCCTTTTATACCTTATTATTATTCACCCCTGATATACATATTCATCAACATGATTCATGACTAATTATCATAATTTATGTTAATAATATACAGTTTAATCTATAGTAACTGGGTATATCATGATATAAACCCATAAATGATATATTTACCATAGTATCTATATGGTTATCCTTATTATTGGTATTAACATAATATCATATGAGTATTTAAAGGGGAACAGTCAGCATTTTGGGGGATTGATTTGGGTCTTTATTGCGCTTAAATGGTCTTAGAAAGTACCAAAACACACGAAAATCACATTCTCCCTTCAAATATACCTCATACTAGAAATTTCACTGTCTATTTCTATATATAGAAAAGTAGGACGTAAAACTCCATTCATTTCATTTCATTTATTCTTATATATGTGTTTTCTATATAAGGCGAAGTCTCACTAAAATTTGAGTCACTTTCAAACGTGAATAATTATGGATACAGTACACATGGATTTGAAGGCTTGAATTACGAACCTGCTCTTTATGTTTAGTTGTATCAACCAATCTGATTACTGTATTTCTTAAAATGGAGATTGTTTATAAGCTAAGCATTTCAAAAGCATTTGATTATATTAATGATACACAACAATATTCCTCTTTCTAGCCAATATGTAGCGCTATGAATTTCTTTTTTTCGTTTCAATTCAGAAGCATTTTATCTCAAATATTAAGTTCCAAAAAGAACTTTTGTTGCAAAGGTGGTATTTACAACAAATCATAATTTGGAGATTTTTTGAGAGATGTTGTCTAGGTGTAACCAGGCTTATTTTAATTTTAGCAACATGTTATTACAAGTATGTATATAGAACAATGTCAGACTACTCCCTTTTAAGTTCAAATTTAAGATCAAAATCTTTTTCTAAGTACAGTTTACTGTCATAAAATAAGTTTGTTTTACACAATCAACAACTGTAGAGATTGATGATATGTGACAAAACACTAATTCATACTTTTTTTAAAAAGTGTGACATTTTACTTATATAAATATAGAAATAATTTTCATATTTTCCTTGTCAAGCATGACAACAATATTTCACTTATAAAGTATGATGAAAACAGAAAAAAGAAATGAATTCGATCAATATCACCCAAGAGCTCAATCATGTGCTATTAAGAGCACATTTATGTAAAATTTTTTACATTTACAGTATAATTATCTAAATTATCAGCTTAATCAGCTTTTCATATCGGCTTTCATAATTAAAAAATCTGGGACTTTTTTTTCAAAAAACTTAACTAAGATAAAGTATTTGTATAACACAGCCTCTGATGTCTGTGCAATTATAACCAATGATATGTTAACATTTGTACAGTCCTTTCATATTGAATTGTACACAAACTAAACAACAGATTTTCATTTTGAAAAGTGATACAAGATTGAGTTCTAGTAGCTGGTAAAGGAAATATTTAAACGACTATATCCCTTCAACAAAGTGTTTCTTTAAAACCATCTTCAATTTATTCCTCTCATCAAAATCTTATATATTTATGTTATGAACTTTAAGAAGTGTGTTATACCATAATATATTCCCTTGTTGTTTGTTCTATGTTCTAAATGTCATTCAAATTTTTATGTACATTACATGTTGTAACAACAGATATACTTTTCATCAACGTACTAATTTAATTGTCAATATATGCAAGTTCTGACCAGTGGTCAACATAATTTGTAATTGCAGGTGTCCTTAAATTACAAAATTGTCAAATCTATTATTTAATCCATATTTTGTCTTGTTCTAAACTGTTTTAGGTTTCGAAATTAAAGTGTACATTTACATATAACTTTGTTTACCAACTTTAAATTGTCAATATATGTCCAGAAAGTTCTGACCAGTGGTCAACGTAATTTGTAATTGCAAGTGTCCTAAAATTACAAAAACTTGAACTTTCAAACTTTATCAACTTTGATAAAGTGAGATCTATAGTATATCAATATTTGACTTGTTCTAAGCTGCTGTCAGTTTGGAAATGTAAGTCTACATTAACATATAACTTTGTTTACCAACTTTCAGTCTTTATAAAGGGAATGTTTCTGGTAATTTAAATCCCAATTGACTTTAGAGTTTGATATCACGAAGGTCACTTGAAGGGTAACCTATTTCACGCCAAAGAACTGATACAACATGCCAAATGATTGTACTGGCTTTTTGGGGGTATACATTAAGGTTCTATAGAATACGTTCAGAGCGTTGGTCCCTAACATTACGTCATTTGCATAGTTAAGCCAAGCAAATGGCAGCTGTGGCTTCAGAACTCAATTGGTGAAAGTCTGATGACCTTGAATAAGTCATCTTCACTCATAATTCCAGTCAACCCAGCTGTAAATGGGTATGGATAATCTGAGAATGGATCCTTAACTGCGAACTTAAGTTGTTGTTAAGTGTTGCTATTTCTTTCTCTCTTTCTTTATGACAGTTGTAGAGCTGATAAGGGTCAATTTGATGGAGTCACCTAATAGGCTGTGAATTTCTGAAATTTCATACAAACCTTCATTAAAAACATCCTCCTACCATCTGACAATATGCATTAGTATAACAATTTTTGCTGGTGGTAGCAATGTTTTGGGCATTGACTCCAAACATACTAGCCCATTTGTTACTTTTTCAGCAAAGTCAAGGCAAATAACCAATCAATGAAAATTTGTCTTAGACTTAAACGCTAAACCTGGAACGCTTCTGTGCAGTTGCCATAATATCAAAATAATCAACACCACAGAAGAGCCAATGACAATGGAGTTGAGGATCAAAATGATACGAGCTGTCTGATACAACTGGTGTACTTGTAAGAATTTTATACCGAGTGAACAAGAGAAATGTCCACTCAATGTTTAATCAATAGTGCATGGTAACTAGCCCTATTATAATTAATATTATTCCTAATGTTATCAAGTTATGTTATCATTTTATAAAGAGAACTTTCTCGTAAGATTTCCTAAGATAAGTTAATGTAAGAAAGACATGTGGTGTGATAAGAGAGATAAAAACTAAATTCAATTAAATTCAGTTTAAAAAGAGACTTTCAGAAAATGATCATAGAGGTACTAAAGGACCTGTCTCACTGGTGGAGACCTCACCGCTGTTGGCGCGACTAATCCATCGCAGCGACTCAGTTGACTCAAAAGACCATCTAATAGTGTGCATTCTCACCAATTCTCATCAGACAAGATAACAACCAATTTGCCCTAAAGTCACAAGGACGAAACTGCAACGTCTCCATCACGCACTAGTCATGTGGTCTCTAACGTGAGTCAATCCCTAAACAGTGCTTCCGAGAGTCAGTCTGGTGTCACCCCCTAATACCCAACCATTACGATATCACATCCAAGTACTTCTTCATCTACTGGCCTATCAAACATGTTAAAACATGTACGCATACCATGGCAACCCAATATGGCTTTTAGAAGAAGCTTTAGAAAGAATTAGGAAAGTTTCAGACTATGACCTGATCTACTGGCCTATCAAACAAGTTACAACACACCATAATGAAAGATGTATTTGTAAAATCAATAACTAATGTTAATGACTAGCCTAATCTACAGCCAGTAGTCTGTGTTGTCAGTATGTTTGACGTAATAAATAAATCTTACACATTCTGAACGAGGAATATCAAGAATTAGTCATCCAGTCATAATATTATTTTCCTCATAAAGAAGGAACATTACCTATTCATATCCTGTTAATCTGTATGGCAACTATATTTGAAACAATTTTTAAAATTTTTAAAGCCGTGGGCACACAGTGGATTTTTGTCCGTGAATCATTGTTTGGTGACAAAAATCTGACCTGGGTTTTGCAAAAAACATTTGTTGCAAGTCTGTTGCATGCGTGAATAAAAACAATTTTATGAAACATTTTCCGACCTCAACCAATCAACATATACTATCTCGTCACATGAGACAAAAGTCATGTGACAAAGCCGCATACGTACATAATGTTTCTTTTGAACAATTTGCATCGTGTGCAGCCATTGCAAACCTGAACAAATAATAACAACACAAAATTTCGTCATCTGTGCCTAGCTGAAAGGTGATGCAGGTAAGAAGGGCTGATATGGAAAAAGCATCTAGTCGTTTGGATGGGACAATAAATTGAGGCCCTATGCGCTACAGGATCACTCGAAAGTTGGAAATAAAAAAAGAGCAGGCTCAAGTCGCTGTCCCGACAAAATTTCCGCATTGCACCCTGCATGGTGTTACCCTTCATTAACCTACATGGTGCAGAAGATTAGGACATAATATTCCAAATAGCTTTAATTGAGCTCTACCAATTAATACAACAAATATTACTACAACTATATCCAATTAGTTTATTTCCTGGCTTTTATGTCACCATGAATATTTGAATATATCAACCAATATTGGTCAATGTTACAAATTATTATAATATAAGCTATTTATCATATAACTAAGCCAGGTGGGAGTGGCAGATTTGTTTACTGTATAATATATAGGTTAACTAGCCTTATTATTTCATTCATTCATCAATCTATAATCCCTCACTAATAACTTCCGTTAAAAACCAGGTGACTTAATCATGAATGGAAAGTCACCATATAGTATCGTTAGCATCTATTTGCACCATTCCAATTTTTAATCAGACGTCTTTTGTTTCTGCCATTTCACTAAAACTTAAGGGCCTTATCCCAAAGGGCATTATATAATATATATATATTATATAAGATTTTGCGATAATGATGTCATAATACTCTTTAGTTTTTGTGGAATAACAGGAGACACAGTCGTCTGCTTGAAAATCAAAATGGTACAAATCAATGCTAACAGTATCCCTGATTCATACCAATAAAATATAACCACAAAAACAATTTATTTAAATCAGATAAATATGTGATGTGCCAATTTAGACTGTCACTTCTTGGCATTATTAACTTGTTCACAAGCACTTATTACAGACAGTCAGACATCATAAAACAAGAATTATAAATCTGTGTTCAAAAGGAAAACATCTTTTTCTTTAGCATTTTATTTTTTAAAATAGCAGATTCTCCAATTTTAATAGATCAGACAGTAGGAAATAGGATTCAATACCAACATCTTTAGCAGTGAAAAATGTCCAGAGAGGTCAATGCCCTGCCTTTTAAAATTGACTGACCGATATCGGACTTGAACTCCTCAGAGTAGTTACTTATAAACATCATATGTTACCATTTTATACATATTAATTCAGTATTTATAGTTAAATATCAAATCACAATATAATTCTTATAAACAGTAATCTCTTATCAATAAACTACATTAAACATTATTAGCCCAATTACTGTCAATAACTGCCAATAACTGCCAAAATTCGCTGCTTATAAATTATAAGAAATTTGAAAACCTTATCTTTAAAGTTATACTACCTCTTAGGATGACCATAAATTAAATTTTTATACTTGGCCAAAAGAGTCTTTGTTCATCAGTGGATTTAGCCATCGGGTGTTATAACTATATGACAGAATCCCTCTATAATCCAATAAATCCATAAAACTAAGTAATAATACATAAAACTAAGTAATAATACATTAAACTAAGTAATTTTGAAACATGCTTAGAAGTGTGTCTCGATAATTATTAAGTTTAATGGATATCATCTTATATAGAGATTCTATTCTTTAGTAATGGCACCAGTATATGTATACACTTGTTGACCAAGTTTTATTTCCATTCTAAGAGGCAGAATCCTTTAAATGCAAATTAAAAATTAACTTAAGTAATCAGCAGTGAACTATACAGACCCCAACCTAAAAATTTGATATTCTCTCCTCCCCCTTAGAAGAAAAAAGACCCTTAACTAGCTAAAATCCATAAAGCCACATTATTATCAATATCAATGTTTTGTATGCAAAAATACATGTCATCAGCATGATTTCAATTTGACAGTGCTGCATTTTAGCCAAAAGCATTGTGCTGTCAGGTATTACAATCATTTCACATTAGTTACCAGCCAAAACATTGGCACAATAAAGTAGGAGTTGTTAGATTAAAAATCACTTTATTCTACAAGATTCCACTGGTTGTTCTCAAGTGTAGAAAATAACATAAATGAGGTACCATGGAGGAAAGGCACAAATATTTACAAACGTAACAATCCATGCATCATTAATATTCAGCCATGCTGCCATAGTACATCAATTTGTTATAATTTCTACACCACTAGTGGAACCGTGTCGAAATCTATTTATACTAATCACTATTGGCTTTCAATAAAAACAGTAAAATTTTTTTTTTTTCTAAATTCTACATCATTCATTAAAAAAAATATTTTGTCAAACAGGATGTATTTATGATGAAATAACATATTCATGTATTAGGAACATTTGTATGACAATGAATAAACACATAATTCAATTGAAAAAAAAAACTTGAGCTGGAACACTCACAGAGATGTGCACAATATAATATTCAATATACACCACATTGTATCAAAAATGTATGACATTGTGTAAAAGGATGATAATTATAATTATTTAACTCACTTAATTCTCTCTAATACGAAATCGTCGGGGGTTATTTTGGACCATATACCCCCTATAGAATCTCGACACCATTTAAATCCCTCTGATCTCACTGCTTTTTCATCGATAACATCGGAATCCATATTGAACTTATTGATTTTATTGTCGGCAGATGTGTTCTGTTTGAGCGTCGACGGTCGACTGAAAAGAACTGATAGCAGACGTATTATTTTGTCCCAAGTGCTAACTAATAATAACGGCAACATTTGTCTAACTTGTTTATCTTTCAGGCCGAAGTTCATTCACGGTTTTAACTGAAGATAACGGTACGTGTGTGTATAGTAAAATAGCATTGAGTAATGATCACACTTGGTTGAAGCCGACATCATTGACGTAGTTATTTCCGTCATGGGCAGACAACTCTATTCCAAGGAATCGGTGGCATCATATTCTATTTTTAGACTCTTGGAGATCTGACCTAATTATTAATCCTTTTATTATTGAGATTTATTGTTTATAACCCATTTTGATATTTGTGTCCCCAACCCTCCCTTTATTAACACTTCCCGTTTTCTTCTACGTCACAAAATTTCAATAGCCTTTTAAATGCTATTACAAAGCTGACCAAAAATTAATGGATACATATTTTGATATTTGTAAATTTTCGCCACGCCCACAAATATCCTATGATATTTATATTATTTCCTAATTCCGTTGATTAGTTGTTAACGCATATAGACCTATTGCAGATTAGACCGAAACATCTGTCTCTATTCCAGCCTCCGATACCTATTTGTACAGATATACCCATCAAAGTCTGAAATAGGGGCAGATGTTTCGAACTAAGTGCAGGTGTGACGCCTCTCACTTTTGCATCATGATGGATATGCTATTTAATTATTTAACTATCTACTTGTAATCCATAACACTTTTCATAATGAAAATCTGACTTTGGATACGACTACGGAAAGCGAAATATTTTCGACTGCAATCATTTCTATACAATTATTAAACTTTTCACGTGTAGTTATAACTTTTGATGTCAGAATGTTTCCAACATGTGAATAAGCTATTTCCTGTATCAAGTAACAAAGCTCACTACCTTTACTACTTTTCAGAGATAAAATCAGATGTGTGGTTTTATTGCAAATCTACAAAAGCTGTAAATGATGTTATTCATCTGCATATGACTTGCCGCGAGATTAGAAGTAACAGCCTGAAAATGTTGATAATCGATATTTTTAGTCGTTAAATAAAGAGTTCATTATAAAAAAGATTCTGGGTAGTCCGAAACATCTGCAGAAATTTGATGGATTTTAGGTATATGAATATGTCTAAAAAAAACAACCCACACTCTCAGATGGGAGGAAATCATCATAAATCAGGGCCTAGTTTTTCTGACTCTACTCCAGCCGACAACTTACATTCACAATATCTATCAGAGACAGGAATAGAGGCAGATGTGTCGAACTAACTTCTGGGTTATTATAGTTTAGATGATTAGGTGTTCAACGTAGGGTAAATAAATATTGTTTATTAGTTGATATGTAGTTAGATCGAATAAACTAACATAATATTGAAATTTTAAACAAAATCTACATGTATAGGCCTATCGTACTAAATTGTCGTGTTAAAGTAGGGACCCAATAATCGTATATATATGAACATCGTCATTCATGTAAACATCATCATTCATGTAAACATCGTCATTCATGTAGACATCTTCATTCATGTAAACATCGTCATTCATGTAGACATCGTCATTCATGTATTATGATATGCAATAATAGTATACATCGTAATTCATGCAATCATCGTCATTTATGTTAACATAATCATTTATGTTAACATCATCATTCATGTAAATATCGTCATTCGAGTATTATGATGCAATAATTGTCATTCATGCAAAGATCGTCATTCATGTATTAGAATATTTGTAATAAGAGTAGAATTCGTCATTTATGTAACATCGTCATTTAAGTATACATTGTCAGTCATAAAAATTACGTTATTCAAATATTAAGATGCAAAAATAGTATAGGCCTACATCGTCAGTCATGCAAACATCGTCATTTATGTAGACATCGTCATTCATTTATTAGAATGTAATAAGAGTAGAATTCGTCAGTTATATCGTCATTCATTTATAATTGTATAAGGATGCAATATGATTATTCATAGTAAACACCATCATCCATGTATTAGGATGCAATAAGAGTATGTATCGTCATTCAAGTAAACATCGTCATTCAAGTAAACATCGTCATTCATGTATTAGAATGTAATAAGAGTATTCGCCAATCATATTAATATCGTCAGTCATATCGTCGAATTATTGATGAATAAAAGTTTTGTCAATCAAATTTTTAACGAACGATTTAGAAATTTGAATATTATCATTTAAAACCTTTAATATATTTATAATTTATTCCACTTAAAACACAACATGAAACAAAAATCAATACAAATATTTATGAAATGATATTTAAAGAATGCGAAAATTGTGTGAAATCTGATTTTATTCGTCAAAATATCATATTTTTCTTTCTGACCCAGGTGCGAAAACGAAATGTTTGTATGTGATTTCTGCATTTGTTTATGTTCTGACTTACAAACTAGAACAGATGCAAATAAAGACAAACTGCAGTCTGACTAAATTTTGAAAGTTGTATCGATCTGGGTTACCTCCTTGCTCAAAGAAATTTAAAAGAATTAACAAAAAAATCGAATTTCGGAGTGTATTTTCTTATCGATGTTAACTTAATGAAAATTATTTTCAGTCTCATATTCAAATTTACTCTAAAACTTAACTTTACCAACAAATCTGTGAAACATTCCTCGTCATATTCCACATGGTTATGGTGACAATAAAGCCACATCTGTTTGGGAAGTTTCCTGGTGCCATGGACCTATCCACATAGTACAAATATTCAATAAAGATTGAATAAATCATATTACTATGGAAGTCGACTGCAGCCATATCTACTCTCGACTTCTCGCCAACTAGAAGGGGGGGGGGGGGAACTCGACTTCTCGCCTACGAAAAAGACGAGGAAAAAGTCGAGAAAAAAGGCGAGGAAAAAGGAGTGAAAAAAGGCGAGAAAGCGAGAGTTACAAAGGTGAGAAGTCGAGAAAGCGGAGAAAAAGGCGAGAAAGTGAGGAAAATTTTCCTCGCCTTTTTGCTCGCTTTCTCGCCTCTTTCCTCGCCTTTTTTACCATCGCTGTCTCTTCTTTTTCCTCTCGTGGGCGAGAAGTCGAGGGTAATATGACAGCAGCCGGCTTCCATGTATCGCAGAAGGCTCTCCTTTAAACGAGAACAGTCGGCATTTTCGGGGATTGATTTGGGTCTTGAAAATTCAATGTGCTTTAATAGTCTTAAGAAGTACTCAAACGCACGAAAATCGTATAATATACCTCAAACTAGAAATTTCCCTGCCTATAATGTGTTTTCTATATACGGCATAGTCTCACTAAAATTTGAGTCGAATTTTTAACTTTCAAACGTGAATAATTATGGATACACATGGATTTGAAGGCTGAAATTTCGACGATGAGCTGTGAACACTATTACTGATTATGTAAGCTAAAAAAAATTCCTGAAACAAAGGTATGCTTGGTCGAACGGATAGTGAAGGTGCTCCTTTAATACAACAGTCTCTAAATTATGTTTTATGAAAATTTTCTGTTTGTGGTAATGGAGTTGTTTCCCTCTAATTAATATTTATCAGTACGTACAGAGAACTATATATTATTATCCTGCTTATTCGTTATAAGTTAGGTATACACGTATGCTTTACCAGCAGCCTTGTACAGCTCAAGGTAAATTACCCGTATTTATTTTTAAAATGCAAATTGGACGTCTGGTTCGTCTGTAACTGAAAAACGCGACGCATTCTCGAGTAATGCAAGTCGGATTTTCGAGTTAAGCAGATCAGATTAAATGAAAACAATGACGATTCTGGACATAAATCTGTCAGCTTTCGTCAGGAATCTATCAACTTGATTTTCAAAGGTGCAGTCTGATAATATAAGTAGAAAAGAGGAAGTTAAATTTATGAAAAAAATGAAATAAAGAGACTTTTGTTTCTAACATTATCTAAAAACTAACAGTATCTTGCGTTATTATTTAAAACGTCCAAGCTATTTAAAAACTTTACGTAAATGTTAAAAGTTCGTTATATTTGCTGTTGTTGAAGAATAATGTACTGTAAATATTTCAGGAAATAAAAATTGTAGAGAAATGATACATTTAATTAAATAGAAATAGATATACGTGTAATTAAAAACGGTTTTAAAAATGAAAATTTAGCATGGAGGACCTTTATTGTACGCAACGTTACATTGTAATTAACAAGGGTAAGGATTGCACAAAGCGATTAATATATTCTGTGTATATAAATATGTAATGGGAATATTATATTGATGTTTCGCTTTGACACCAGATGTTAGCGATCGATAGACAAGACAAACCGTGTCAACCACATTAATCCGCCATATCTATTTATTGCCCTGTTTTATTCATCTTCTAATAATGATTACTGATCGGTCATAAGTTGCACTCATCCAAGGGATTATTCTACACGAGAGTGACTGTTACTTATGTATTAGAGGATACGCTGGGTTGATTTCCAGCGTAAAACTGGGTGTGTCCAAGGTCACGCTTCTGTTGTCTCGATCTGAGTGCATTTTACTGTCAGGTAAGCATCTCTCACGGAAGTGTTTGTTTTGTCAACACCTGTATGTCGGTGGAAGTGATTGTAAAACCAATATTTACCTGCAATTGAAATTACGAAATCGCAGGCCGAGGAGATAATTTGTATGCAAGGTCAAAGATAGAGGATTGTGTTTTGTTGGGTTTATTGATGGCGGTATCAGTTGGGTTTATTGATGACATAGTTTTTAGTCTCAATGTCGATTAACACCCCGGATATGCAATCAGTACACAGGTAAGCTTCCATTACGGATATGCTCATGAATATTGCGTTTTGTAGACATTTGTAACAGTTGCGTTTATAACATGATAGTCGGCATAGGTTTTAGTAACAAAGTCGGAAATGAAATTTTATAAAATGTAAGTTGGTGTCATAGAATAGAATTGCTATACAAGAAAAAAAATAAGAAATAGAATTAGAAATAAAATAGAATAGAATAGAATTGCTGTACAGGAATATAATAGAATTGCTATACAAGAAAAGAATAAGAAACAGAATTAGAATAGAATTAGAATAGAATAGAATATAATAAAATTAGAATTAGAATTAGAATAAGACTAAGACTAAGACTAAGACTAAGACTAAGAATAAGAATAAGAATTAGAATAGAATAGAATAGAATAGAATAGAATAAAATTAGAATTAGAATAGAATAGAATAGAATAGAATAAAATTAGAATTAGAATAGAATATAAAAGAATAAAATTAGAATTAGAATAGAATAGACTAGAATTAGGAATAGAATAGAATTAGAATAGATTAGAATAGAATAGAATAGAATAGAATAGAATAGAATAGAATAGAATAGAATAGAATAGAATAGAATAGAATAGAATAGAATTATAGAGTAAGCTAGTGATCGATATTATTGTGTAATATCTAATATTATGCCAATAAGCTGTATACAAAAATAAAGGTATTAGTTTAGGATTATATACAAGTACATTAAAGTCACGCTGTGTAAGACTGTACGTAATCTTTCTCGTGACGAAGTGGTTCAGTGAGTCGAAGCTTGCTGAATGCTTATTATAAATATCAAAAATATATTTGAAATTTGGCATATTGAATATTCCAGAATTCCTTACATTTGTAACATTTGTAACAGAGCATCTTATTGGTTGAATAATACTTACAACCTAGGAAATGTGTCGCATAAAAGTTTCGACAGATCATGGATCGTGTCCACCAAAGCAAAAACTTATATAACAAAAACTGTCTATTTTTTATCCCTACAAGGATCTCAAACATCAGGAGACATACGTCATATGTTAGACCAATTTGATTTTTATTCTCTGTGTGTACATTATAAATATAGTGTCCTGTCCTGTTCTGTCCTAGTGTTTTGAAAGTTTTTTGCACCTTATTACATTAACAAACGTTTTACTTAAAGTTTGTGAGAATGACTATGTCCCTCAATTATCGAGAAATCCTTATACATTTTGTATTATGGATATTACTTTAATATGGCTTAATGTAAATTTGACACTGTGTGACTTTAATCATATCTATACTAAGGTAACTGTTTAGTGACAATAACAACACATATAGTCTATCCAACTGGCTCATTCCCAGATCATTTTTACTCTAGAATCACCTTAAAGTCAATAGAAAAATCTTTCTCTAACCTCTGTTATTTATTTACATCAGTCAAGTTTTGGCTTTCAATTCACTTAGTGATGGGCACTTGATTGGAGATTGGAAAGTGTCTTATTTTAAACTTTTAAACAGAAACTTCTGGAGTAGTGACATTTGGACTGTAAACTAGAACATCAGAGAATATAGGAGTGAATCTGTTGGCAGCAGATGATACTGAATTAGGTTTGTGATTTTAGACTGTTTATCGTTTGTTTTCTCTGGAAATTTATAGGTGGTGACTCGTGGACAGAGGAAACATAAATTTACAGAGAAATCAGAAAATATTCGTCCTTTAGCTGGGTTGTTGTTATCCATTTTACAGAAGATTTAACAATGTAGCTTATTTGAAATTGTTTATGTCTCTGTCCCAGGTTATTTGACAGAACAATTAACAGTGTAGCCAATTTGACGTTGTCCATCTCTGTTACAGGTTATTTTACAGAAGATTTAACAATGTAGCTTATTTGGAATTGTTTATGTCTCTGTTCCAGGTTAGCCTACTTGACAGAACAATTAACAGTGTAGCCAATTTGACGTTGTCCACCTCTGTTACAGGTTATTTTACAGAAGATAATAAACAATGAAGTTAATTGGAGGTTATAGTTTATGTCTCGGGTATTTTACAGAAGATTTAACATTGTACCATATGGGTTGTTTTCTGTCTCTGTTCCAGGTTATCTTACAGAAGATTTTATAATGTAACTACGGGAGTTGCCTGTCTCGTCCAAGGTTTACGTTACAGAAGTTAATCAATATAGCTAACTGAAGGCTATATGTATCTGCATATATCTTCTTTTCAGTAACTAACAATGTAACTAATGGATGATTATATATCTCTGATCCAGATTGTTTTCCAGAGGAATTAAAAATATAACAAACTAAAGGCTATATATATCTGTTTCAGGTTATTTAGCAGAAGAATTAACAATGTAACTAATGGGAGGTTGTCTGTCTCGGTCATCTTTTACGGTCAATAAAAGTAATGCTGAGTACTATGGTTCACGGTAAGTTATCTGTTTTATTCTGAAAAGTATTATTTTCACACCATTCACGTTGGCTCATTGTTCTCTTTGACTTGAGCTTTTATATTATTTATGCTGAAGTCAATGATCTGTACGATTAAAAAACTTCAAAAGCATTTCTGTCCTTCAAATCTTTGCCTATTTTGCCTGAAAACTACATCAAGTCTAGTCAGTTTAACAATCCTGATGCTGATGATGGCTTTTATATCCGTAGCACATAAGAACAAAAGAATATGAGCTTCCATGCACATTTTGTGAAGAATAATTCGATTTTTATAGCTGCTCTGATCGAGTTTCGTTAATCAAGCAAGTTCACAGTTGATATTATGTCTTAAGCAATTATGAGATATAAGCATACCATTCAAAAGAATGAACGACTCCGAATTGAATTACGACGGTCACTAAAAGTTGACCACTAGCCAGTCCAATTGACCACTGGATGAGTTCCAGTATTTATCTTAGTATTAAATAGGATCTGTTGACCACAAAAATAACGTGAAGTAAACCTCTAAAGGTGAAAGGTTTAGAATACAGGTGACGATCAGATGAAAGGAAAATGACACAATCACGACAAACATGACCATTTGACCACTGGTCATCACATTCAAATTGAATTCTTACGATAGAAGTAGGGCATTTTGGTTTCGAGTAAGATTGTATTTTCTTAAGCACTGTCTTGACTCGTTTGTCAATCGAATTTTACCCATTTTTCCCAAATTTTTCAAATTATTTACGAAACAGCACCAATAGCCTTGGAATCAGTTTGTTGAACATTGTATTAAAATAAATACACACCGAGCAATTTAAACTTAAATTTACAACCTAAACTTTAAGGATGAAAATTTTCTACTGAAAGTTCATTTATATTTTTGAAGTCAGACTTTCGCTATTATTTTGAAGCTGATATTCAAATGGTATAAATTTGATAAATCGACAACAGTACGAAGATTGTAGGTAAAATACCATCATGCTATGTACTAAATAAATCTTGTACAAATAGTACTTTGGTATAATTAGAACTACTAGAAGTCAATATCAATAGTAACTGACCACAAACTATAATCCTATTGGTCACAATATACCGAAATGCTCTGTCAGTTCGTACGGCGAATTACCCATTCAAAGCGTTCAAGGGGTTACCGATGTGCGTTTGTTGGATCGGTGAGTTGTGTACTAGGTGAAGGATTCAATTTCAGTTATTCACTCAGTCTAGTTGTTCGGATGGAACAACAATCCGAGGCCCTTTTAGCTACTGTTTAAAAAGATCCGTCAAAATTTGGAAATCGAAAAGAGACACAATTTGTCTGATTGCAAATTGCATGGCTTTGTTACCGCAATCAGGTGTGGAAAAGTGAGAATTAAAACTTCATTTAGTTTCATTGCACCTGAGTGTTTCGACTGTTTCGGATATAAATATCAATATCAGATCAGTTGGAACGTAAGCACAACCCATTACATAGCGGCGCAAATTTAATAGGATGCTACACTGTAAATATTTTTATGTTTAATTTACACGGAATAGGCCAGCAGTTACGTTGCCAAATAGTAATTCATGATAATAAAACTAACAGAAAATTCGTAACGACAAAAAGTTTACGGCATTTTCATCAAGATACGAAAACCGGATATCTAACCTAACTAAAACTCATCCAGAATCTTTCGGGCCATATATGATGATCTACATTTCTTTAAAATTTACACACGCAAATGAATTCTGTTTTCTATGACGATACAGACGGAATTACTTTCGTAAATTATTAATCTTACTCATAAAGTACACTCGGTTGTGGATCTAGTTTTAAATAAAACATAAAACAATGTTTGAAAAGGGAATGTAATACACGTAATGGAGGTACAAACAGAGTTTTAAAGTGACATGAACTATAGTCTTTTTCAACGGAAAGTATGTGTCAGCTTAATAAAAACAGAAATTGTGACTAAATTCTTATTCCAGCGTTTAAAAAAAATTATCAGGATTTTATTAATATTTTTTATTGTGGAAAAAATGTTTTTTTGATTTAAACATTGATGTAATACGAGTAATTCTTGTTTTCTATACTTCGTATGCTTATTAGTATTACAAATACGGAACAGTTCGATTAAAAAAAATCATTAGCTTTATATCAATTCTAAATTAACACTATGACAATGTAAATGTTCTGGAAATTAGCACACAAACGGACTTCTTATCAAGAATGATGAAGTGATATAGATAATACCTGAAAATCTCAACCAGACGGTGTTATGTATGGGAACATTTGTATCCAAATGGATAGTCTTTTTATTTTTCGGAGCTTCTTTATTGAAGATCATTAGCTGCTTACTACGTGTTATGGGGTATGATATTATCTTTATCAAAGCGTATGCTTGGATGAGCAAATATAGTCATGTACTCTCGACTTGAGAAGATTCACAAAATGTGCGTCCTGTTTGACAAAACGCCATTGAGTATACGACATCTGTTGAAAGTTATTTATCACACGGGGCTTCCGTTTATTGTCCCATCCGGACGACTCGACGCAGCCCCCAGACCTGCAGATACATGAGTCCCTGATATTTCGAATATCGCACACTACATGGTGCAGTCTTTCTGCGCAATCAAATGCAATAAAGTAGGGCGTATACTACGATACTTTGAAAATAGTTTCAAACCGCTTCTTGAGTCAGGAAAACAAATTCCATTTAAAGGTAAAAGTGTCGACAGTCCAAAGTGAGCTTAAACAAAGTGAATATTGATGATAAATCTTTGATCAATAGTTAATAGGACAAATAATAATACACGTTTTATTATATAGGTAAAATATAATGTTCATATACTTGATTAGTTTTAAAGTTGGATTCCGCCCTGATGTTGATCGTGCTTACTTTACAGTTCATCATTTAACTTCGCTCCATTTTATTTTAAGAAAAGGTTATTCCAAAATATTGAATATTTCTATTTTCGCGCCAAATAATACTTTCGGTTTTCGAATGCGATTTTATTAAAACTCTTTTCCTTAATATTTGGATATTGTGAGTACCTGATATGTCAAAGATGATGCCCCACCCCCCTCTGTCTCTCTCTTTCTTTCTCTCTTATTGTTATTCGTCACTACAAGAAATAAATAGAATATTCTGGGGATACCCATCTTTAAGCTGTCAATGATGATTCAGAAATCATTAAATAACTAGGAAACGGGAGTAATTATCATTCCATACTTAATGATGTTGGGTGTGGCATTTTAACAAAGTGTCCTTGCGTGCTTTGTTAACCTTGATTATGATGGTATTCACCGAGGCATATTACAATAGTTCTTAGAGCCCTGGTTCCAAATTTGGGATGAAGTATCCCATAGGGGTCTCGGCCAACTCCTCAAGATGGGGAACCCAAAAAGTCTCTTCGACAATTTAAAACAGTAAAGTGTCATACAGTAGTATAATTTTCAGTTCCCAACTTCATACTGATTTGGTTCTCCACTTAACTAATCTCGAGCGAACGTGAGGTATACCAAATCATGGTGTACAGCGCTTTAGCGTTCCAGGGGAGTCCAATAGGTTAGGAATACTAAGAGATTTTCTTCATTGGTTATCATTTTATTGCAAGGTGTTCAAATTCTGTAATAAGTGCAGAAAATTACGACGTAAAACTCCATTCATTTCATATCAGTAAATAAAAACTACTACTTTTCTAGAAAAGTACGACATACCACTCCTTTTATTTCATTTCAACATTTGTATTTTTTTAGAAGTCAGCCGATAGTATTCAGTGTATTAGATACTGAAGTGGTATTAAGAGAAACTGAAATTGGTACCTATTTGTTATATAAAGATATAGACACCGAGAAGATTTATCTGTCAGTTATGTAAGTAATATCTACTGTTATGAAGAAATTGCATTCCACACTGTTGCCGTTATAACTCTGTTCAATAGACGCTGTGTGATATCACATGAAACAGATATGAACGTCATTAGCTACGAATGAGACGAAACCTTACCTCTGATACAATAGAATTATAGTTCGCTTCGTTTCTCCGTGATATTTGGTTGCATTGAATCTAATTCTGGACCAATTAACATTGTAAAGGAAACATTGGCCATTGTTTCGTCGTCGAAATTCCGCTCATAACATGTCACGTAGTCGTGGATGAATTGGTCATAGTTTAATCGCTCAAAGAAGTACCTTGTTACTATTTAGACGATACATACGTCAAAATATTTTCAGAATCCAATCAAATTAACGAACTCCAAACTGGCCCATACACAATTTTGTGCCTTATGTATCCACGGCTAATAGGGCCGTAGAATTTCGACAATGGAACTCTTTGTATAACGCACGATGGCCGTTGTCCTTTAAACACAATAATTCTAGGTTTCATAAATTTAAAATATTTTTCAGGGCCCCAAACCATAAAATACGTCATCATCGTATAATGGAAATAGAGAAATTATTTTATTTAGAGAAACAGCCTTACCCGTATTTAGATTCCATTATATTGTATCATAGAAAACATAAATTACGAGGCGTCAAATTAACACAGAGGGTATGTATTTACTTACAATATTCACAAAATATGACGGTGGAAAACTGTCCAGTTTTACTTGAGGTTTTGTAATTATTATTAAATTATGTTGCATTTTGACATTTCAAAAGATCACACAAAGGCACCCTGTTGAATCCATTGTACCTGATAACACGATATAAGCAATGCTATCCCGTTGTGGAAAATTTGTATGTCAGAGCCCGAATAACTCGTCCATAACATCTCATCGCTCAGTAGAAGCTATGGAAGTGTAAAAGTCTACCAAAGCATCTTTGCTCAATTTATGCCCGGATGTGTGTTTATATAGATAACTAATACAATAAAACGTCTTTATTGTTTTCAAGAGTTCAAAATACTTTATTGTTAACAAACACAACAATTTTATGTTTCCAGGCCCACCTGAGCGCACGGGTTGTTAAAGCATTTACAACAAAAGTAACAGAAAATAATGGGAATTATTTGGCTCCACCGTCTGCCTACTTGAACGTTTCCTGGCATGGTTCTACAGAATCTCTCATTACGTCATCATCGGCAGCATCTTAACAGTTAGTACTGTATCTGGCAGGATTTATTGTTTGTGCTATCCGAGATTTTGTTTTGTTTTGTTTAATTAATATCATCAGTACAAATGGTCATACGAAACTATGTATGGTTCTTACATGGAGGTAACCCTATATAAGAACCATACGTATAGTTTTGTTTGTACAAATGGTGTGAACGGTAGTATAAAATGTTAACTGTAAAAGGAATGAATCGTGTTCAATTGAATTTTGATAAGCCAACCAATCAAAAACGCGTTTATTAATGTCGACGGGTATTTTCTCAGAGCACGGATAAGAACTTGAATCCTCCTCATCAATACATGTGACAAAAATCTAGATCTGCGTGTAAATTAATCCTTTTTCCTGCCTTCTAAGTTGTGGTATTGTTGTGTTGTGTATAAAGTGTTATTTACTGCAAAGTAAAGTAGCTCATGGACGATACTTTGGAAATACAAATAAAATGCCTTAAAAGCATTCCGCGCCTTTCTTGATTGATATGGGATGAACATGTGATGTGACTGAATTTAGTGTTTCTCGTAGAAAATCCTTTATGGGAAAATAGTTTGAAAATGTCTTATGATGATATGATAAGGTGAAGCGAAAGATATTTTAAGTCTAAATCTGAACTTTCAAAGCATTGATGTCATATCAAAAATAAAGGAAAACATATGAAGATTTGTGTTTTGACCACAAGGGATGCGTTATATAATAACAAACACTTTATTTATTGTATACACCAGTGAATCGTGTCTCCATCAGTGGAGGCTAAGGATACCGATAGGGGACGGACTGACTCAAACGAGGAGACAACTGTCGAGGCTGAATTAAAAACGCGGCAACTCTTTTAACGTGTGCCAGCCATCTCAGAGGCCAGTAATATTCCACAGTTTACCCCAAAGAGGGATTAATATGTGCATGAATAACAATCTTATATACAATATTAAATGTAATTTATAGATAATACATATAATGTCAAATTCTATCTTCACAATGTCAAGATATTACAAACTGCGTCTAATACCTTGACATTGTGGTGATGCTCAAAGTCAAGCCAAACACAAAACTTTTATTGACATTGGTTAAATAGTATCTGGTGATTTCTTAAGCATCTTGAAATTGACTTGATTAGAAAGAGTTCAGAGACGTTTTATATTCGCGTCCTCATTAATACAGTTGCTTCTTAAAATGTATATTTGTAAATGTCTATTTATTAAAAAATCAATTGTATTATCTTAAGATAAGTTGTAGTTTGTATGAAATATCGCAGTGGAATCTAGGTTTTTGACGCAGTGCGTAATAGTTTGACTCTGTGAAGATGTTTAGGGAAGGCGTGGTGTACCAAAAAAGTAAATCTATCGGATATGTGAACAATTTTTGCTTCAAGGTCTAGATATTGTCACCTTTGACTTGTAAGCAGTGGACGGAAGGTACAAGTGGCGGGGAAATGGTAAAAGTGTCCGAATGATTGAAAATCGCTCTAATTGTTTCTAATGCATATGATAAAGCTTGAAGAAAATATTGAAATATCTCAATCTGATAAGTATATGTTTTGTTCACATGGTTGATCGTGATGACTGCTAACGTCACGTCTAAATACGATTTAGTTATCAAATTCGTACAAATGTATTCTGCACCCTCAATGTACAGTATTTATGTTTAAAGGTACGCTTCCTCGTTTATTCTATACCAAGATAATAAGACAAGGGAGATAATTGTCCTACTTTTCTTGATTGGACTAACATCTTAAGAGGTAGTATTCCTTAAAGGCATGTCATATATAGACAATAACGATAAATTGGTGATCATTAATATTATCATTCAGTCATCATTTGACATATTTGGGTTCAAAATCTATTTTGTCTCTTCACTTTCAAGATAAGACCTCTGAACTACCGTTTAATCATTATTCCATTGAATAACAAAATACAGCATATTCTTTTCTGAGATAAGGTCAAACACATGGGTTTTTTTTTTATCATTGATTGGTATTTCCAGTTAAGATTGCGAACTTGCTAGAAAGAAATTTGCTTGGCGCCCTAAATAGCTATCAAGAATAGCAGATTGTCCACAAACAAATTTCTGTTGATGTTCAAGAGGCAGTTGGGATGGAAAGGTTGAAATGTCATATTTCCCTCGCAGCCTGTTTCGAATGGATTTATAAATAATACAATAGTGGTCTGGTTTTTTTTGATTATCTTGAAAACCCGGTTCCCCCTGTCTGTGATTCGGGTCGGAGGACATGGAAAAGCGTCCTTGGGTCGGAATGGACAATAAACAGGGGCCTCATGTGCAACACACTGTACGTTAATGATAACTCGACAATTGACGAAATTTCCATTACTTTGCACTACATGGCGTTGCATTTGACTTACTTAATGTTATAACCGTACAATAGAATCCCTTTATAATGCGATAAATGAATAAAACTATAGGAGCGTTTTACAATAATTACTTAGTTTAATGGATTTATTGTTATATACAGGGATAGTTATGACACCAGTCCATTGATGAATATAATTATACTCTTATTTTAGACTTAGTTTTGTCTTATTTTAAGGGGTAGTATTCCTTTAATATAGTCAGAATGATTCAGTAACGCAGTTTTGTAAAGATTACCCTGGACATCGAATTCAAACTATCGGCACCCAGTTACTTTGGGTTTTAACCACTCAGACACCCTTCCTGACGCAAATCGATTATCGAAAGCACAAGCTTTCAAAAGCTGACTAATATATAAAACTAAGTCGATTGGGTCCTTTAAAATAAAGATTTACGTACAATATTCCGATAAGATCTAATATGCCCCCAGCCCATCGGCCTTATTATTGAATGAGTCAAATATTCATATTTCAACCGTGAAATACGTACTTGGAGTATAACAAAGATAGTATACTTATATTGTATATTTTTCATTTGCATTACTAACTTTAATGTAATAATCATGGATAAACTATTTTTCATTGTTCTTGGTACTATTTTATTCGGTAAGTAAAAAGTATTTTCGCCATTTTCGGGGGGTGAATATATGTAAAAACTGCACGAAAAACGTATAATTCCCATTCAAAAATAGGAAAAAACTAGGAATTTCACTTTCAATTTCTATGTATGTCTATTCTGTATACAACACAGTCTCAAGAAAAGACGAGTCGTTATTTTAAGTTTCAAACGTGTATAATTCGGGACACACATGGATCTGAAGGCTCAAATTTCAGCGATGAACTGTGAACACTATCACTAATTACCTTAGCTAAAAAATTCATGTTTATGAGACTAAGCTACGATTGGTAACAAAAAATGACGACCCTGGCTCTGTCACGTGTCGATAGAAAAGTTACCAATTCATTAAATCAATGCTAATTAATATCAATGCTTATCAATACAGAAATTTTTAAAACTGTGCTTGTTAAATATAACTTGGTAATATATTTAAGATGATGTCTCAAATTTTCCATTAGGTCTTACCAACCTGTCTTATATCGAATTATACCATGCAGATAAATTTTATTCTTTTGAATTCATCTCTCTAGGTTCGAGTTATAGTCAAGAAAACACTACTACGTCATGTTCCGATGGTAATCCAACCTTTGATTGCTTCGACACTCTACAAACTGAGGTGGCTGAAAGCCGAGCTAATAATGACACATCATCTTATTGTCGGTAAGTCACCATCACCAAATGTTCCTCCTCTCTCTTAATCTAATCTCTAATCTCTCTTACTCTCATCTGATAGCCTAATCATTCCAAACTAGAGTATAACAATTGGATAGAAAAGTTTCTCAATTCATTTCCTAGACTAGGTCACTCAATTCCGCTGCCTTCATGAAATCCTTACATATTTAAAATTTTGGTTTTTGAAATTCTCAGGTCAGTAAAGAAATATATAAATTGTGTAGAAGGCGTGGTTTGTAAATGTGGAATGGCTAGCAGTGCGTCTGTGTATCGAGCTTTAACATACTACGCTGCAGTTTATAAACAAAATGGATGCGAATTTGGTAAAGTATCTTATTCAAATTAACTTTCCACTAAGCATAGATTTCTATTTGTGCGAATTGCTGTAAAGAAATGGTTGATTCAGAACACTCTACAATTGATTCTAGACTCTATAGCTACGTATCAGGTATATTAGCTTAAAATATCTGCCCTTATATCCTGCCTCTGATACCTATTTTCACAGTTGTCGGCTGGAGTAGGGTCAGAAAAACACTTGAAATGAAATATACCACAGCTTCGAAGTCGCGGCGGTCTAAACCTACTTATTTTCCTCAGATCCACCAGATGATTCGGCCTACAGACATATATAATTCACCGTGGTGACTCATGAAAGCACCGGTCGTGACGACGGGGGTTTTTCAAGATTTGGTTGTAGGACTTATATAACATCGCATTTGATTCATAAAATTTCAGAAGCTGACCACGATCTGATAGTAGAACCAGGCATCACGTGTCAAGGTAGGTAACATGACGACATATATGAAACATCTCCAGAAAACATTCGGCGTGACATGATAATTTTGCTTACCTTAAGATGGATTTGAATCAGTGTCAATCGAATGAAAATGAAAATCAATTTTCAACTTGTTTTGACAAATGGAGATGGGCAACACCATGCAGTGTTCAAATTTTGTAAGGACAGTGGCATTAGCCTTCTCATTTTGGATTTTTTCAAAATTGTGATAAAACAATAGTTTTTTTCCAGGTACTATGACATGGACCTCCCGACCCCACTGAAATAGTATGGGCTCTTTAACAAGTCCATAATCAATCCTTTTTGTTTTTTGCAGATGACAATACAACAGAAGGGAATAATACCATTGACCAAGGACTTCTGGTTCTATCTTTAGATACAAGTAAGTATTGTTAATTGTTGTATATAGTCATTTTAATTCATTCTATTAAAAATCATACGATGATTTTATATAACTTTTATAAGGATATAACATCGTTGACTCGTTATACAGTGTATAATATGTAATTGTTGTACATACTAACACAGCTTCCGATACCCGTATCCTTTTTCCGACATCAGGCAATCAAACAAAAAAGTGTTGTGTAAGAATACATTGTCACATTCTCGCCAACTTTTCTAAAATGAAAAGTGATAATCAATTTTTGTCATAAAAATATAAGCAAATATCTAATATTCTTGTCGAATACATCCAATAAACAGTTATTATCAAGTTGCTTTTTCATACAGTCGTTAACCATATATTTGCGATTACTATGCGCACTTATAGAAATTCGTGGTATGTAACAGTTATGTGATACATGTTATTCACTGTGTAATGGTTGAAATGTTTCAGTTCCTGCAGTGCTATCTGTGAGTGAAGTCTGTCCTGGTGTTAAAACCTGCTACAGTGATTATAGTAAGAGATTAGAACAAGCTCTATACAATAAAGATTTAGATGCTGCCTGTATGTAAGTAGATTATCAGTGTGTCGAATGCAATATAAAGACTTATTTGTTGGACAGACAAACATAACTTCAAGGTAACTCTAGGGCGAATTAGTCTTATTTTATCGGGTTGGTATGGGTTAAATGACGATTTGTAAGGATGCAATGATGATTTTATGTCGATCTCGTTGCAATAGGCCTTGAACGTTGGTCAACTTTAATTGTTTTCCCCTGTAAATAGCCTATAGTTGATTACCTTACTCATAAATACTTCCAAACGATCTACATATCGTCACATATCACAGTATTGAATTTCAGTCATATATTGTCGGTTCTATGCCCAAATTGGGTGGTGGTCACCTGATTCTGGTAGGCTCTAAAGCTACGGACTATATTCAGCTCGCAATATTACTATTACTTGACAAACATTATTAAATGCCGGAAATAAAGAGTCTCGCCCAAGAATACACAGTAAAATCTTCTGCTCACTACTCAGACCGATTTAGTTTTACGGAAATTGCTGAGGATTGTCAAATGAAGCACTTCGGGAATGTCATCATTCTTATTTTGTAGAGGTATGGAAATGACAATACCGTGTATAGAGAGAGCTGCCTGTAAATGTCAAGAAACTAATAACTCGATATTAACAGAATTATTACATCAAGAACAATTCGATTACAATAACCTTTGTACAATAAGTAAGACATTAGTTTTGCTATCATGAGTTTTGCTATCATGCTGGTTGCAAGCTATCAGACTAAAATGAAGCTCTATGATTGTTTTCTATGAGCGTCTTCGCTCAATTTTGAATAAAATTAAAAGAATTAGAGTTTAGCGTTATCATCTTGTTCCTTATTGCGCTAAGAAAAGACGGACAAAACGTGCACAATGAGGGATATTTTGCCATAACAGCAACATAAGTCGATACTCTGTTTTGAATTCCATTTGTCGAGGGATTTGAAACACATACTGCCTATTTATCTATCATAAATCGGACTTTGCAATTCAGTTTACCTTGACTGGGGAAAACTCCGAAAGAGACAGATATTCGGTTGAATTATTTGCAGATTTGATTTTTCTGTACTGGTTTTTGAGCTTTGCACTATTAGCTTCATGAACAATGAACATACATGTAGTTTGACCGATAGGCAGACCATTTAATTGGTTGGTTCAATCATGATTTACTCGCATTCTATTTAAGATCAGACCAATTTTCGTTTCGTCTTTTATTTCCAATTTAGTCATTACAGTTAGGGACCAACGAAAGCCCTCTTGAACGTTTGTCTGTTTAATGACATCTCTAGCCAATTAATTCCTTGCCCTCAACAAACAGACGAATGTTGAAGAAGGCCGTCTATAGACCTTAACGGAAGTGGCTGAGTTAAAAATAAAAGCTTATATAACAAGGAACGAAAGTTTTTAAATCTAATTAGACTGGAATTCATCTTTTCATACAGAAAGTCGTTAAGAATATTCTCGATACAGTCAGTTATCTTTAATGTTATTGTATGTTTTAGTAACTGGAGGTGTTTTCTTTGATGATGACATTGATTGCTCAGGTGGGTATTTATGTTAACAGAATAATATAGTATTGTAAAAAAAAACTCAGTTTGCACCCTGAAATTGTGGGATGATGACGTCATCAATCCCATTGGAGTGCTTCAATATGAATTTGATAACGTCATGGATGTGTTTCAAATTTTCGCTTTAAGATGTCAAGAACAAATTATTCTTCATTGCCCAGCCCAGCATCTTCTTTTATTTTCATTTTTGTCATCTAATTTTTGTAAAGTTTCGAAAACAAGACACTAAAAACTAAAGCATTAAACATTGCTTGTAACATGTTGAATCCATTATATCCCGACATTATTCCTTTTTCCAGAGGTTGGTCCAGTAAGTACTTGTGAAGCTGAAAATCCTATATCCGACTGTTATCAGACCTATTCTAATTCTATTGGTACCGATTACACAGATCCGAATATAATGTGTCCGTAAGTACCCTACAGATCCTAAAAGTGTCCGCAAGTACCCTACATATCCTAACATAAGGTGTTCGAAAGTACCCTACATATCCTTACATAATGTGTTCGAAAGTACCACACATATCCTAACATAATGTGGCTATAAGTTACCCACATATCCTAACATAATGTGTTCGAAAGTACCACACATATCCTAACATAATGTGGCTATAAGTTACCCACATATCCTAACATAATGTGTTCGAAAGTACCACACATATCCTAACATAATGTGTTCGAAAGTACCACACATATCCTAACATAATGTGTTCGAAAGTATCCCATACTTTATCGCTAAGAAATTATTTCCATTTAATTTCGTTAAATTGTTCTATGATTTGAGTTCGTAAAATCGGCATACCTTTCCAGAAGCCATATATCTAAAAAGGCTTATCTTTTATTGAAACAACATACATGTTTTATTAAATTGACTAAGATCATCTAATGACGCCGACATGTGTTTCAGATAGCCAGTGCTCACCAAGTCAAAAATGAAAAATGAGAGGTAACTTTCCAAAAGTTTACATTAGGCGTATCATCAACGTTAGCAAACTCCCTCGCGAGCTCTGTTAATATTTTGAGGTATTATTTTCCAGAGCAATAATGAAGTTTATCAACTGTTCTGAAAGTGTAGCCTGTCAATGTGGTTTACAGACATCGGCTTCAATCTTACATAGTTTAACAATGTCAACAACCAACCATCAGGTGCTAGGCTGTAACTTTGGTAGGTGATAACTTTTATGTTGTTACCAAATCAAAGAGTACACACAGTTTTTAACAAACATTGAACGGTTCATCTGATTAAACCAAAACTCCAACACATGGTACACTTGTAGCATATTTTCGTATCCCTTGGAAATCATTGAGCAGCCTGCAATAGAACTTTAATTTCAAATACTCGTATAGCTTTTCAGATTAAACAATTGAAATTAAGTTGATAAGTTCTTTATAAAATTCATAAAATTGCATAAACATAAATCATTATTTTATTAGCTAGTTATATTCCAGTCATTTGTAATGGTGAATTGTATATTGTTTATTTCAGTGACTGGTGACATGACAGTAAGACCAGGGATTCAGTGTCCAGGTATGTATATATACACTATTATACATTATTACATAAACACTATATATGTCTGTCTAGGTTCTAGATTTCACTCTCACAAACATATTTAATCTAAATAAAATGCATTTCTGAATGTTTTGTTACAGGTGATTCGAGGTTCAATGGTTCTGATAAAGATGCTATTTTGATTTCTATGGGTCTTTTAAATAGTAAGTGGCTGTTTCTTTAACCAATTTCTCCATCTTTATTAGCCCACAAAGTGCAGAAAAGTAAGAGGTAAAACTTCAATTTCATTTTATTTTAACCAATTTCTAAGCACGTAAACTTTAATATCACCGTTAATTTCGGCGGTAAAGATCATGCCAGTAGAAGAATGTTATATTGTATCTGATGTATTTTAGATGTTGATGTAATAGATAATATTAAGTTATGTGCTGATATTGAAGAATGTTATATTGTATCTGATAGTGAAACGGCGGCAGCTTTACACAATAAAGACGGTGTTTCTCTTTGCCAGTATGTACATAGCTTTTACATTGAGATAAAAAAAAATACCATTACACAAGAGAAAATCAGTTTTAGGATAGCACAATTTTTATTTGACAAAAATTTGAATTGGAAATTGGAAATAATTGGAAATTGAAAGAAAAATGGAAATCAAATTAGGTCTAGAAACTGGAACGAGCTTCATTTTAAATGTGCCATGGGTAGCCAACTTGAGTCGTATTATACTTTATTCTTTCAGAGCCCAGAGTAATTTTATACATTGTTCAGAGCAAGCAGTGTGTAAATGTGGTAAATATACTGACAGGGAATTTCAAAACTGGTTAACAGAACAAAAACGGGATCATTTGGATTTATGTGTTAGTGGTAAGGAAATAAAGATATGTTCGATTTTATTGTCATATTGTTTGTTTCGTGAAAAAGTTGCGAGTATTAACATCGTCACTAATTATTAAGAGAGCAAGGGCCTTTTCACCAAAAATTACAATTCTATGTCATCTATGATTATATATTTTTAGATACGTCTATTGAAGCTTCATATACGTGTGGTAAGTTCCTGATTTTCTTCCTCTTCTAATAGTATTTGTTGGAATTTCGATGTGATATCAGTACTCAATCACCAATTTTAGTCATTGAAATAACATCTTTTTGCTCCATGTACATCTTACAAAAAATACAATTGATTCATTATTCATTTTCTTTGTAACTCTAGATTTTTGTCAAGAAACTAACCAGTTAAGCCATTGTTATGAAGATTTACAAAGAGTGTTTAATAAAGCTAGTTATACTATTACTGAATGGTGCATGTATGTATACCTTTAGATCTTTTTAAATAGAGAATATTGACATCCATACTTGCCTTTAATCTTCACAAGTTTCCACGGTTACATAGTACAAACACCTATACATTGCAACTAAATTTCCACTGATACAAGGTACAATACACCTTTACATTGCGTCTAAATATCCACTAATACACAGTACAATACACATATATATTACATCTAGATTTCCACTAGTACAATACACCTTTACATTACAACCAAATTTTTCACTGATGCATAGTACAATACACCTTTACATTGCGTCTAATTGTACACTTATACACAGTACAACACACATATATATTACAACTACATGCCCACTGTTACATAGTACAATACACATATACATTACATCTAGATTTCCACTAGTACAATGCACCTTTACATTACAACCAAATTTCCACTGATACATAGTAGAATACACCTTTACATTACGTCTAAATTTCCACTGATACATAGTACAATACATCTATACATTACTAAGTAAATACCACTAGTGCAACACGCCTATACATTACAACTGAATTTCCACTGATATATAGTACAATACACCTATTCATTACAACTGAATTTGCACAAATACAGAGTACAATAATACAGCTATACATTACAATTAAATTTCCACTTATACATAGTACAATACACCTTTACATTCCACTGTGACATGGTACAATATTGATACATAATTTCTAAATTGCCACTGTTACACTCATACAATGCACGTATACATTACATTTGAATTTCCACTTCTACATGTTACAATACACTGATACATAATTTCTAAATTTCCACTGTTACATTATCACAATGCACCTATACATTATATCTAAATTTCCACTGTTACATGGCATAATACACTAATACATAATTTCTAAATTTCCACTGTTACGTGGTATAATACACATATCCATTACATCTAAATTTCCACTGTTACATGGTATAATACACTAATACATTACATTTATAAACTTCCACAATTACATGGTAAAATAATCTATACATACAATACACATTTACCTTCTATAAACGTCCACATGTAATGCACATCGAAATTTCCCCAATGACCTCTAAAGTACTTCGAACTTTCCAAACACAATCACACATTTATCCTTTGTGTATACTTTCAGTGCTGTAGAAACGTTTGTAAAATGTGTTGAAAATGTTGGTTGTACATGTGGTATAGAAAACGATCCAGAACTTCTCAAGTCGATTTCTTATTATATACATCTATATAACCAAAAGATTTGCTTTTTCTGTAAGTAAAATTTACGATACGAAAATTACATTACATTGAGACACGATTGGAATATGACTGAAGAGTCTCAAAATAGTCCTCCTCAAATGTGACCACGCCCATTGAATGCAAATTTGCATGAATTCGATTTTTTGCTTTAAAAAAAGGAAGCGAACAATATCACATTCACTTCCACAGACATCTATTGACAGTATAATGTAATGTCGACTATTTATTCAGGTTTCATTTTTTATATAACTGAGCAAATAGCACGAATCCATACAACTAAATTTAATGTTTCTTTAGAAATTTAGTAGAATTTTTCATTCAAAACATAATGGACACTCATTGCCAAACTGAAAACTTCATTTATTTCAGATACATCTGGAGTTCACATTAGCAGTCCTGGTATTCTGTGTCCAGGTAAAATCATACTTACAAATTTTGAATTCATTTTCAAATGCAATCATAAAAGGCTTTGTTAAAGCTGATTTATAGGCATTTCCCACAAGATGAAGTTTCCTAACCATTGCTCTTACATATAGCTTCGACGGTAATATCAGTACATGAGAGCTTATAAGCACTGGAAATGTGGGTCTGCAAAAATTTGCTTCATTTTACCAAAACCAGATTGACCTCCTAAAAAAGAGCTATGTCGGATGAAAACAAAGTTAACATTTAGATGTTTATATCCCAATAGACATTTTATTTGTAAATAATTCAACTCTTTTATAATCAGGAATAAATGTGACTGGTACCGCTGCAGAACGAGGACTGCTAGTCTTATCTTTAGAAACACGTAAGTAGGTCATCCATTTTTTCTAAAGGCCATCCTTTTGACATCAAATGTTTTAAATGTTGGCGCCTCCTATCCCG